ACGATACCTTCCGATATGCGGTATTTTGATGATTTAAGCGACATAATTTACCGGAATTGTTTCAAAATTGGTATTTAAAGTTCGTAACAGATACTTCGGCTTAAGACAGACAATGCGCCATGAAGGTCCACGTCTTCGTATAGCCCCCATATAACCGTACCTCCCAATATTCGGTATTTTGATGATTTTAGCGACATTATTTACCGGAACTGTTTCAAATGTGGCATTTGAAGTTCGTAATGGATGCTACATCCTAAGACATGGAATGAGCCATGTAGGTCCACGACTTCGTATAGCCCCCATATAACGATACCCCCCGATATTCGGTATTTTGTTATTTTATATTGTTTCAAATTTGGTATTTGAAGTTTGTAAGACAGAAAATGAGCTATGTAGGTCCACGTCTTCAGATAGCCCCCATATAACGGTAGCTCCCAATATTGGGTATTTTGATGATTTTAGGGACATTATTTACCGGAACTATTTCAAAATTAGAATTTGAAGTTCGTAATGAATACTACAGCCTATGACAGAAAATTGTCTGTGCATGTCCACTTTTTATAACCCCCATGGTACCTCCTTATATTCGGTATTTTGATGATTTTAGGTACATTATAAACAGATTTTCTTTTCAAGTTTCGCATTTGAATATTACAATGCCTTATGTCAAAAGTTGCCTATGCAGGTCCACGTTGTCGTATTGACCCTAATATGGCGGCTACATTCGGTATTTTTAATATTTTAACAGAATTTTTAACGGATTTTATTTTTTTTAATTGTTAAATTTGTACCAAATTGTGGAGGGCATTCAAAGTTCGGTCCGGGCGGCTACATTCGGTATTTTTAAGATTTTAACAGAATTTTTAACGGATTTTATTTTTTTTTTAATTGTTAAATTTGTACCAAATTGTGGAGGATATTCAAAGTTCGGTCCGGGTGTTTTACTTGTTTTTTTTTTTTCAGATTTTTAAGTAAATAATTTTCATTAGGATTATAAACATATTTTTCAGTTTTTTTCTGAATATAAATATCTCTGCTGCAGTCAGATACATTCATATAAGTTAAATTTGTTTCCATCGCTAAAAACCCTTAATCTTGGAAGTATGTAAATTCAACTCTGTCCTTTCCATGCTTTATAAGAACTTATGTTTGTAGCGAAGATGAGGGTATTGAAGAACGTATTTCGTAGGAGTACTGAAAACATGTTGGGTATATCAATTACACTATCCAGAATTTGAATTTGCTGCCAAGAAGAAGTTTTTAAATAGGCGGTATTCCAGTCTTCCACGTCAAAGTTGTTTCACAGTTGTATTCCGTTGGAATATTTTTTCCTTCTTTTTTTTTTCTATTTTGTGGAGGTCTGAATAAAATGAATGTACATATTTCACACTTTCGACTCGTTGCATTTCTCATGGCAGCAGAAAGAAAACAAAAAAAAAAAAAAAAAAGCACATTTTTGTGTTTCTTTGTGGTTTTAATATTGTTGCTATTGTCCTGGGTTATGTGTCCTGTCCTCAGCAGTTTGTTTAGATGGAGTATGGAACAATTCATCACAGCATTCTTGGCATATTAGGCAATGCAGTTGTAAAGCATTTGCCATATCTTCCCCATCTGACCTCTCCCCTTGCTACAGATGATTTCTCTTATTTTTCCCCACTTTTCTGTGCACAGGAACTGGCAGAAATGTTCTCCTCACAATGCCCTTTTGAGCTGGAAAAGAATTATTCCAAAATATTTACTTCGCTTTGTAGTGAAATACATCAGAAAGCAAAAAAACGGAAAACCAAAACCAAAAAATATGTATTATTTGTTTTATGGGTCAGTGAATGGTAGCTTTTTTTTCTTTCTTACCGAATTAAATTAATTTGAAATTCTCGGAAATGATAAAGAATCTGCATTTCCCCTACCATGATGGAAATTGAGTGTCGTGTGTCTTTTTCTCTTCAATGCAACGGACATTTGAATGTGAAGTCCGGAAAAATACATTGCATGAATCGAGAGACTATAAAAATTTTGCTTTGCTTAGTGGAATTTAATCCCAATTAAAATCGGGAAAACTCTAATATTTTTCCGGCTATTTTCAAATTAATTTAATATTTTTAATAAAATTTTAACACCATTATTTTTAATAAAAATTTTATACTTCCCATTAAAATTTCAGTCCTTGAAAGTTTGACAATTTTTCCTCTTTCGGAAAGAATAATAGAAAAATCTTTACAATTTAAGCCAAAACAAGTAAAATAGTATCAGTCGGTTTTGCCGACAGATGTATACCCCCAGCCTTAAGTTATGAACGTAACAGATTTGGACTATATCGACTACTTCTTGTACTTTATATGAGATGTGTGCACATTTTCGGCAAATGAAAAAATAGATATAGCGGACCGAAGTATTCCATTCATCTAATACAGATAAAATATATTGGTATGTGCCAAATTTAAAGGAAATCGAACAATCGTATCCAATTCGAAATTATAAATTCCGACAAATTACATATTCATATCAGAATACTGGTTAAGAGAAATATTTAGATATAGCAAAGAATCTCCGACTTGTTTCGCAAGTTATGACAATTATAAGTTGGCAGATGTATATCATCTTCACAACAGATCTTGTGTTAGAAATAATGTCAGTATGAGAAAATTTGAGGAGGTCGATGGATGCATTTGGAGGGTTTTTTTAGAATTCCTTGAGCGTTTTGTTTTTAAAAATCTTGAACCCTATGTGGGGAGGTACCAGAAAAAATAGTCCGATCTCTACCATCTTTATAGAAGATCTTGCGTCGATGAAAATATTGAGAAGCTCCAAGTCTGAATAGAATCGGATGTTAATTTTGCGTTTTACGGGCTTCATGGATACTCCAATTTTTGACCCTTTGTGGGGGAGGTACCAGAAAGAGTGGACCGATGTATTCCATTTTGGCAGAACATCCAAGTCTGAATAGAATCGGATGTCAATTTTGCGTTTTACGAGCTTCATGGATACTTAAAATTTTGACCCTTTGTGGGGTAGGTACCAGAAGGAGTGGACCGATATATGCCATCTTCACACCAGATTTTGAGTTAGTAGAAATAATGGGACGTGTGTAATATGAAGAGAACTGGATGTTTATTTCGGATGCTTTGCTCAGGTCCTATGTGTGGGAGGTACCAGAACAAATGGTCCGATCTCTACCATCTTTTTAAAAGATCTTGCGTTTATAAAAATATTGAGATGTGCCAAGTCTGAATGGAAACGGATGTTAATTTAGTGTTTTAAGAGCTTGATGGATATTCAAAATTTCGACCTTTTGTGGGGGAGGTACTTGATCGAGTGGACTGATATTGTCCATTTTCACACCTGACCTAGCACTGACGCAAATATTAAGATTTGCAAAGTTGGAGCAAAATCGGATAATCGTTTCTCTTTCTGTGCAAAAAATATTTTTTTTTTTTAATTTCGACCTTTTGTGGGGGAGGTACCAGAAGGAGTGGACCGATATTGCCCATCTCCGAACTCGATCTAAGATTGATAAAAATATTACAATGTACCAAGTTTGGACCAAATCGGATGCAGCCTTCGAGAGTTATCGTGCGCACCAGCCAGCCAGCCAGACAGACAGACAGCCGGACGGACGAACGGACATCGCTAGATCGACTCCAAATGTTCTGAAACGTTTTTGGTCCAAAGAGACCTAGGGTCTAAAACCGTTATTTCGACTAGGCACGTTTTGACCGTATCAAATGATATATATTTAAAATACATCCTTATTTAAAACAAGTTAAAAAGCAGTAAGTTCGGCCGGGCCGAACTTTGAGTACCTTCCACCAATTTGAACGAATTTTAAAATTTTCAAAAAATAAAACCTTAAACAATTCTGTTAAAAAAAATACCGAATATAGCCGTTATGTTGGGGTCTATATGTCCACCTCGTATACATTGGCATTGTTTGTCATAAGACATTTTTCTGTCACAGGCTGTAGTTCCCTTTACGATCATCAAATACCAAATCAAATCAAAACAAAATCCGGTGAATAATGACGCTAAAATCATCAAAATACCGAATATAGGGATGTACCGTTATATGGGAGCTATACGAAGTCGAGGATCTGCTTAGATAATTTTCTGTCCTAAGCTGTAGTATCCATTTCGAACTTCAAATGCCAAATTTGAAACAATTCCGGTAAATAATGTCGCTAAAATCATCAAAATACCGAATATCGGGAGGTACTGTTATATGGGGGTTATATGAAAAAGTGAACCTACATGGCCCATTTACGAACTTGTGCATGTGTGCAAAATTTTAGCCTTCTATCTCAATTCGATCGGAAGATAGCGTGATTACAACAGACAGACGGACATCGCTAAATCGACTTAGAGTTTTACGGTGATCAAGAATATATATACTTTATTGGGTCTGACATGAGTATTTCGAGGAGTTAGTATGGTGGAGGGTATAAAAATACACAAATATTGTATAAACATTTTTGAGATTCTTCGTTTTTTCAGTATTCGTATACATCTTCAACAAAAAATGTCCGCCGAATTTATTTTGTCATTTCATTCAGAAATATTCTACCTCACTCCATTTTTTATCTTAATTTGTATTATCAAAAATAATTTTTATTTTCCTATTTCAATAATCTTTTACATCGGCTCATGTTCGATTAATCGCCTAGTGATTGTATATTGATGGTATATATTCGTAGATTCTTATCGGCAACAATTAAAAACTATTTGCTCGATTGTATGTTTGTAATACGCTCTCATATAACACTTGACGGGCAGACTTGATTATCAGCAAAAAAACAGCTGAGAAATAAATTCAAATAAAATGGAAAACTACAGTGAAAACAATAATAAAGCAGCCGGTTTATCTCAGTGCAGTGCTCAAGCGAGAAAGGTGGCGGTGATAAGAACGAAAAAAAAAAACGCTCGAAATGAAAAATAACAACAACATCAATTGACATGTGTGAAGAGAATGTTTTGTAGATTAATTCTGTCAAGCGGCGATGGGTAGTGAGCGAGCGTATCGTGTGGGTCAGTAATATTTTGGTTTCGGCGAAAACACAACCGCTCGGTGGCTCTTCGAAAGAAATAAAAATGCGTGTGGCTATTTTGGGAGGCGGTATAAATGGCTTTTGCTGTGCCGTTAGAATACAGGAGTTCTATCAAAAACAAAATCGTCCCATCGAGGTGACAGTGTTGTCGGAAAAATTCTCACCCAATACAACGGGTGATGGCTCGGCTGGTCTGTGGGGTCCATATTTGTTGGGTGGCACCCCAACAGAGAAAGTGCAGTGAGTTGTGTGGGGATAATTGTTAAGGGAAGAGGGAAACTGAAATTCTTTCTTCTTATTAGCAAATGGTCCAAGGGAATGCATGACTTCTTGCAAGAATTGTGGGTCTCTGAAGATGCCGGTGAGGCTGGCATATGTTTAATGCCAGTGATACGTCTAACGACAACCGATACACCTGTTGATGATTTCTGGAAAGATATTGTCTATGGCTGTCAAGACATGACACCGGAGTTGTTAAAGGAATATAATTCAAACAGAGCAAAGAAATACACGTAAGTAGTTAGAATAGTAAAGAGAGAAATCATTTTATTAAAATCGGAGGATGTTTGGTTAGAGCGAATGTGTATGTTTTCCGGTTTTGGACAAAGTGACTATTTGTTTCAATATCGGTTTGAAAATTAGTATATCAGATTCTGTGGACTCTCTCCTATGTATTTGTTTGGGGGCAGAATAGCTGGTCACGCCTACTTTTTTACATATCTGCATGTATAAATCAAGTGTCTAGACCGATTCTACCCAAATTCTACGATTCTACCTAAACTTTTGGTTGTTGCAGTGGAAAGGTTTTTGAAAAATGAAAAATCGAAAATTTGATTTTTGAAAGGGATATGTTTTGAAATGGCTTTTCGAAGGGAAAATTTGAAAATTCTCAATGGAAAAATTGGAAAAACCAAAAAGCGAAATTTTGAAAATTTTCGCTGATTTATAAGTTACAGTCATTTAAGCGAATAGTGCATTAATTTCGAAACAAATATTTTGAAAATATATCAGATACAACACCATGTGAAGCTAAAATCTAGAAATTTGCCATGTCCGTCAATATTGATGTGATGTGTTGAGATAAGGCAGGGTGTTTAGAAATTCGAACTATAAGCGTACTAAAAGGAGCTAAAAATTGAGGTAGAATTCAGAAATGTGAAATGATTGATGTACAATTTTTTATACCCTACACCACATAGTGGTAAGCGTATTATGTCTTAGTGCATTTGTTTGTAACATGGAGAAGGAAGCGAGATAGACCCGTACTTACTTCAGAGGATAACTGTCCATGTATTTTTATGAACAAAATGCAGGTCGTATTTAATATCCGATTGAGATGAAATTTCCAAAAAAATACTTGTTTGGCCCAAGGACAAACCCTATTATGTTCAACCGATTTCAGATAAATTGTGAAACAAATGGCCAATATCAGTCCTTATGACCTGAATTTTGGGACATCCGATGGAATTCAGACTAAAAGCAATGCTTCAATTTTGGTGAAAATCTGTTAAGATATAGCTTTAGGTCCCATATATATGTTTTGAGTCTCTCAAATGCGTAATATGCACTTCAAAGGAATTATGTTTGGTACCAGATAACTTATGGAGCCTGCAAATACTTCTGTAAAATTTTAACGAGATCGGATACAGATTAGGATATAGCTGCCATATATATGTTTATCCGATTTCAGTTTTTTTGTGCAACATATGACAAGTATCGGCCCAAATGGACTGCATTTTGGTACATCCGACCAGATTCGATCTAGAAGCAAGTAAATAAAATTTGGAGAAAATCAGTCCAGATACAGCTATAGCTCCATATATATTTTTCACCCCATTTGGTGTTTAGGTCCCTCATATTCGGAATATGCCCCCACAAGAATGATATTTGGTACCAGATATCAGATGCAGCTCAGAAATGCCTCTATCCAATTGTATCAAGATCAGTTCAAGTTTGGACATAGCTCCCATATATAACTTCAACCGATTTCGGGTTAATTGTGGACCAAATGGCCAATATCAGTCCAACTGATCTGAATTTTGGCATATTCGACCGAAATTAGTCTAGAAGCAAGAACACCAAATTTCATGAAAATCGGTTCATAGCTCCATATATATGTTTAACCTGGAAATGAAGCAAGGAACCTCATTTTGTTATCATTCTTGGGCGGCGCGTGCCGAGTGCGATGGTGCTGAGTCCTGTTGGAATATTCAATGTCTGCGGCCAAAATGTTTGCGTGCCCAAGGCTTTAATACACCCTCCAGAATATTTTGGCGATAATATTCGGCATTTATTCTGATGCCACGATCGATTAATACGAACCGAGAGCAATCATCGGCTGTTATGGCGGCCCACCCCATCACCATGGTCGGCGCTTGAGTTCTGGTGACCAACCGAAGGTGCACATTTTCAGCTGACCTCTTTGGCACGTAAACACGATCATTTTGTTTGTTTACAAACTTCTGGACATCGAATGTTTTATCATTGGAGAAAATCAAATTCGGCAGTTCACCACTTTCGGCCAAGCAAATCAACTATTTAGCTCTTTTAAGTCAATTTTTTCCATTGCGGTGTAAGTTCTTGCTCTTTTTTGGAATTTCAATGGCTTTACCCGGAGCTCATTTTTCAATATTTGCCGAATGGAATATTGCGATATGTTCAGCTCACGAGCCATTTTTCGGCCACTGCGAAGCGGTTTTCGATCAAGTCGCTTCTTTACATTTCGAACCATTTCTGCTGATGTTGCTGTTTTCTTCCGTCCACTTCCTTGACGTTTGGCTACGCTACCAGTATCACCGTGTAACGAGCGGTGGTACGAGACACGAAAGATTTATTCACATTTAAATGCTGGATGGCTCTAACGATAGCCACTTCTGGTTTTTCAGCCAAATATAAACGAATCACACTATCACGCTTGAATTCCATCACGAATAACTTTTTTTCTGGAAAATTCTCACCAAAATGCTTTCGTACGCTTGTAAACAATATAATGAGCTGTCACTGGAATAATTTTAACATCTGCCGAACAAGTGGCTTAGAAATGACAGCAGTCTGAAGTTGGTTGCAGTTTTTTCATCTCAAATGTGTCTTCAATTTTTATTTTTATTTCCATAGTCGTCTTTCCTGTAGTTATTAAACACCGAACCGAGCCAAAATCTCCGGCAACAATCCATTTTATGGCTTAGATTTGTTATACCCTCAGCCATATGGCTACAGAGGGTATATATTATTTGATTTGCCTAGTCGAAATAACGGTTTTAGACTCTAGGTCTCTTTGGACCAAATCCGTTTCAGAACATTTGGAGTCGATCTAGCGATGTCCGTCCGTCTGTTTGTCTGTCTGGCTGGTGCGCACGATAACTCTTGAAGGGAGTATCCGATTTGGTCCAAACTTGGTACATCGTAATATTTTTGTCAAACTTAGATCGAGTTCGAAGATGGACAGTATCGGCCCACCCCTTCTGATACCTCTACCCACAAAAAGGTCGAAATTTTCAAAAATTATATTTTTTGCACAGAAAAAAAAAATTCTAATATTTGCATCAGTGCTGGGTCAGATGCAAAAATAGAGAATACCGGTCCACTGCATCAAGTACCTCCCCCACAAGGTATAAAAATTTGGAATAACTATAAGTCTTCACACATCCCCATATTTATATCAACCCGAGATCTGGTGTTAAGATGGAATATATTGGCTCACTCCTTCTAGTACCCCCCACAATAAGTCGAAACTTTGAATATCCATTAAGCTTATAAAACGCGAAATTAACATCGGATTCCGTTCAAGACTTGGTACATCCTTATATTTCCATCAACACAACACAGTCCGAACCTAGCACGTCGCAATATTTATATCACATTTTTTTGGTCCGATACGAAATAGCCAATATTGGCCCATTCCTTCGGAACCTACTACATAAAGGGTTAAACATTTTAATAATCATAACAGAAGTCCAAATATTTTTAAATAATCGAACAATGGCTGAGGGTATACAAACTTACCGATAATTTTTACTTGTTTGTAATTAGTTTTTGTGTAGCACAGTGTAATTTATATCTTCAATTTTGTAAAAATTGTGTATTTATACGTATATTAAATTCTTTTTATATCCTTATTTTTTTTTGCAGTTCCGGACTTCATTTCGTCACATACACCTCCGAGCCACGAAAACTGCTACCTTACCTAATGAAGCGTTTTGAAAAACATGGTGGTAAGGTTATGAAACAAAAAATCGATAGCCTTGAGAAATTCTTACAAAACAGTGAATACGATGTGGTCATCAACTGTACCGGTTTGGGATCACAACAGGTGATTGGAGATAATAACATGTATCCAGTTCGTGGTCAAGTGGCACGAGTCCGGGCACCATGGTTGTACTATTGTCTGTTGGATGAGAGTGATGATGGCAATTATATTATTCCCAAGTAGGTGCAGCAGTAAAGTACATTAAAATATTATATTTTAAAATCATTTAAATTTCAGCATGGACACCGTTGTAATGGGTGGTACCCATCAGGAGAACGATTACAATATTATGCCATGTCCCAAGGATAAGAAATTCATTATGGATGGTTGCTGTGAAATTGTGCCCGACTTGAAAAATGCCACACATTTGTTCGATTGGGTGGGTTTGAGGCCTGGCCGGCCCAGTCTGCGTTTGGAGGCTGAACAAAAAGGTATTATATTTTTTAAACAATTTTGAAAAGAATATATTAAACCTTAATATTTTTTAAAGGTAAACACTTTGTCATCCACAACTATGGCCATGGTGGCAGTGGTGTTACATTGGCCTGGGGCTGTGCTGAAGATGTTCTCGATATTATGGAGAAGACACTACAGAAACAACATCAACAGAAGGCAAAGCTGTAAAATCTTAACATTTGTTAACAGTAACCGAAATGTAAATAAACAAATACAATTTTCTTTCTTCCAAGAATGTTTCTCAACATTGTTGCTGGCATCATTGTTTTGTGTGTTTGGTTGTGTCGCAACAATGGGGTGGTTTCTTAAAACCACTTCGTTTTTTCGACAAGTTGTCGAATGCCGTTATTGGTCTCATATTTTAGATATTTTTCTTAGTATGCCGTCGGCATTTGTTGTGAAATGTGTGATACGAATGAGATGCGGATACATTGAATTTTCTTTGGATAAATTCAAAATAATGAAACCCGATTGGATTTTTATGGGCAATATATTTGTAACACTTAAATTTTAACTTGATGCATTTAATTTATATTTTATTAACAAAAAAAAAAAAAAAAAGAAAAGAAAAAAAGAAACATCCATTTTAGTTTTGCCGTCACTCGTTAAATGAAGTAATTATTCCTCATTTTCGGTAAATTGAAAGTTTCATTCACAATTTTCAGCCGAATTGATATTTTGAATCCAAGTAGGATGTGGGAATTCACATCGGAGTTGTTTTTTCGAGGGCGCTATTCCAAAAAGTGGACCGATATTACCCATTTTCCGTAAATATAATTCTGGATGTAATTCAAATATCTCTATCAAATTTCGAAGCTTTGTCTGAATTTAAATATGGTTAGTAACTCAAAATATAGGGGTCCCTTTCAATATGGTGATATCTATATATAGGCCTTAACAATGAAACTTCTTAGAGGGTTTGATCTAAAAACAAGAACTATAAAGTCCAAATTTTTTGTAACTCAGACTGGATATTGTACCGTTAAATTATAAGAAAATTTGCATTAAATTGGGGGAAAGTTCAAAAATTTTCAAAAGAAATTAAGAAAGCAATTTCATTAATGACAAAAAAATAGTGATATATAGCATTTTCAGATTAAATGAAACCTTTTGCAATTCAAATGAAACTTTTTGCAGCGGAAATGAAACCTTTTGCAGTGGAATTGAAATCTTTTGCAGTGGAAATGAAACCTTTTGCAACCGAAATGAAACTTTTTCCAAGTCAAATGAAACTTTTAAATTTATAGAAGGAAAAATAAACAAAACATTTTTATTTTTAGTAGTTTTTAAATTAATTTAATTAATTATAACTAATATATTGACAAAGAGGATTTTTTATTGATTATAAATATCTACATTTTTATATTATTTCTAAAATTTTCAATTTTTTTTATAACAAATGATTTGATATAAAATGCCTCAATATTATTAAATTCCATATACTTTACGCTAAAAAGAGAAATTCAAACAAATTTTGGCCTTTATAGGTATGACCAGGACTGAAATGCGAAATTAAGCTTTACGACAATTTTTTATAGTTATAGTATATATTAATCGTACCTAATAAAGGATTCCCGCTTCGTAGCTTTATTGATTATGGAGCTAGAGCAGTCTTGCTATGTGGGCTGTTGAATGGTTCGCTCTATCGCGTACACAATGTAATGTCTTATTGAAACATCACACAATTCAATGTGGTGCTAAATTTCAAAGCTCTAAATTAAATTTAATATCAATATCGTGATTTCAATAGACAGATAAGTGGAAATCAGTAAATAAACTTTGATCATGATTTTATATACTTTATGGGGTCTACGACGAATATTAAGAGGTGCTACAAACCGAATGACAAATTTAATATACCCTCCTTTCCATGGAGGAAATTATAAAAAGGTACCTAATTCGGGCCCTTTGGAAAAAATACCTTGAAAAACTTTTTTCAATCTTTCTGCATCTACACTTGCGTTTTATGAAAGCTTTAAGAAATAATTTTATAAAAACATAGATATTAATAATCAATAAAAATACCTCTTTAACTATATATTAGTTATAATTAGTTGATTTAATTTTAAACCTGCTAAAAATAAAAATGTTTTGTTATTTTTCCTTCTAAAAATCTAAAAGTTTCATTTGATTTGCAAAAAGTTTCATTTCGGTTGCAAAAGGTTTCATTTTCGCTGCAAAAGGTTTCATTTCCACTGCAAAAGGTTTCAATTCCACTGCAAAAGGTTTCATTTCCGCTGCAAAAAGTTTCATTTGAATTACAAAAGGTTTCATTTATTCTGAAAATGCTATATTTTCATGGCACACATTGAATATACGAATGCCGTTTGTTTAGAGACTCATAATTATTATTATTACACCTAGATATATGATTAATTCTGAGATTCTGCATAAAAGACAATTTTATGTTACTCCAAGCGCCCAATCGAAAAAATGGCAAGGAAAAATTTATTAAAAAACCAGTAAGGGAAAGTCAGAAGTCGGACGGGACCACCACTATGCATATTTAGAGATCCCGTATCAAAAGAGTTTATTTCAATTAGATCATACATTTGGCTTTAGATCATTTATAGTTTGCTACAGAGTGCATGATATCACTTCGAGAAGGATTATATTAAAATATATATATCGAAGTCGAGTTGCACAAAATTGAAACGTACGTCCCGAAATTCCTTCCATTTGGTCTGATATTAGCCATGATTCGCCAATAAACCTGAAATCTGATTAAGGATATATATGGGAGCTATATCCAAATCTTATTCGTTCTCGATAAAATTTGGAAAATGTATTTCCGAGCTTTATAAGACATCTGGTACCAAACATCATTGTTGTCGAATGCATATTACGAATGTGAGGTACTGAATGTACTTGTTTCCAGACTGGATTCGGTTGGATTTACCAAAATTCAGGACTTTTGGATAGATATTGGCCATTTGGTGCACAATTAACCCGAAATCGGTTGAAGATATATATGGCACCTATATCCAAATCTTAACCGAACTCGATAACATTAAACAGAAGTATTTCATAGTTGTCGAATGCATATTACGAATGTGAGGGACTTAAACACCAAATCGAATGAAACTTATAAATGAGAGCTATATTCTCCGGATTTAATGTACTTGCTTTTCGTCTGAATTCGGTCGGATATGCGAATATTAACCATTGGTGCACAATAAACCTGATTTAGGATAAAGAAATATATGGGAGCTATATCCTAATCTGAACCGATCTCGATAAAATTTGACAGAGGTACTTTCGAGCAGTGTCTGATGTGTTTTTATACCCTACACCATACAGTGGTAAGGGTATTATGTCTTGGTGCACTTGTTTGAAACATGGAGAAGGAAGCGAGATAGACCCATAGTTACTTTTGAGAATCTTCAAGGAATCACTTTTTGAGTCGATTTATGCGTGTCAGTCCGTCCGTCAGTCCATGTATTTTTGTGAACAAATTGCAGGTCGCATTTATTATCCAATTGAGATGAAATTCTCCAAACAATATTTGTTTGGCTCAAGGACGAACCCTATTTAAAACGGTGGAAATCAGTTCCCATATATCCCCATATGTATTTTCGAACGATTTTATTGTAGCAATTTCGACTGAATTCATCCTAGAAAGTCTTACTAAAAATTTGAAGAAAATCGGTTCAGATATAGCTATAGCTCCCATATAAATGTTTCATCCGAATTGGGGTTTAAGTCCCTCGCATGCGCAATATGCACTCCACAACGATGATATTTGATACCGGACATCAAATACAGCTCGAAAATACTTCTGTCAAATTTTATCGAGATTGTTTCAGATTTTTTATATCTCCCGTATATATCTTCATTCGATTTGGCGATTATTGTCCATCATACAGGGTGAGATGAAAAAACTGCAACCAACTTCAGACTGCTATTATTTCTAAGACTTTTGTCCGACAGTTGTTAAAATTTTTCTAGTGACAGGTCATTATATTGTTTACAGGCATTACAAAAGCATTTTGGTGAGAATTTTCCAGAAAAAAAATTATTCGTGATGGAATTCAAGCGTGATAGTGTGATTCGTTTATATTTGGCTGAAAAACCAGAAGTGGCTATCGTTAGAGCCATCCAGCATTTAAATGTGAATAAATCTTTTGTGTCGCGTACCATTACTCGCTACCGTGATACTGGTAGCGTAGCCCGTCGTCAAGGAAGTGGACGGAAAGAAAAGCAACATCAGCAGAAATGATTCGAAAAGTAATCGAAACCCGTGTCGCAGTTGCCGAAAAATTGCTCGTGAGCTGAACATATCGCAATATACAATCGGCAAATATTGAAAAATTTGTTCGGGGTATAGCCATTGAAATTCCAAAAAGTGCAAGAACTTACACCGCTACAGAAAGAAAATAGACTCAAAAGAGTTGCTTCGCTTGACCGAAAGTGGTGAACTGCCGAATTTGGGTTTCTCCGCTCCGATGAGAAAACATTCGTTGTCCAGCAGTTTGATCGTGACTTAGCACCATCGCACTCAGCATCGAATACACCCAAGAACGGTTACAAAATGAGGTTCCTTGCTTCATTTCCAGCGCACAATGGCCACCAAAATCTCCGGATACCAATCCGTTGGACTATTGTGTCTGGAGTATTTTGGAAAGCAAGGTTGGCACTAAAAAATAACACAGTGTCGATCACCTCAAGCAAGCGCTTCGCCGGGAATGGACCAAAATACCGCAGAGCAATATTTAGGCAGCGTGTGACGGCTTCATTGAAGGTCATAATTCGTGCCAAAGGTGATCAATTCGAACAAATCTAAACTAATTCTAAAATTTGATGTTATTTCCGACCTTTTTTGCTTTCATTCAATAAAATTAAAAATGATGGCGTTTGACTTGGTAGCAGTTTTTTTTTATCTCACCCTGCATATGTAATATCAACCCGAATTGGTAGAATTAAAAAACCGAATTTTTCCTTGTGGTGAAACTTGGTCTTGCATATCTAATCGAAGTCATATCATGCACGATACAGCAATGTTATTTGGTACTAGAGGTGCAAATGCCTCCGTCAAATTTGTTGAAAATCGATTCAGAGTTGGATATAGTTCCCAAATTGTGACTACTCTAATGCCATGACAAGGTTCTTAGGTGTTATAAATTCACAATATAAACTTTGGGAGTTCTACTATATTTGCATGAGGTGTAGGGTATAATATAGTCGGCCCGCCTGACTTTTGACCTTTCCTTACTGATTTAATAATGCATACATTATTTTTTGACAAGGCT